GTTACCCTCATTTCCACCGGCCACTTTTTACACCATTTTTATTTCACCAATTATAAGCCCCAAATTAATTACAACCCCACCCAATTGCATGCATTTGGCATTCGAGTCTTCCGGTCGATTAAGTCTGAAAGCGGAAGTAAAAAATTACTCATATACATACATACATACATTTTTGCGTCCTTCGATTAGCTTGACTCAGCCAAATATAACAGAAAAGAGAGATGAAAAAACTAAATCAAAGAAAAAAGTATAAAACACAATGGCAAAATTACAAATTACAATAAAAGCTTGTGCCAGCAAACCGTGCGCGTACATACATAAGTACTTATCCACCTACCACCTACAACCTACCATCGTCATCGCCATCACTGAGCATGTGGCCTTTGGAAAATTTTGCTCTGCTCAGCTCATGTGGTGTGGGCGTGGGTGTGGGTACATGGTGGAGCAATTAAAGCACTTGATCCACTGACCTGTCATATAACCGCCGATAAGTCTGTATGTAGATAGGTACATATGCATGTATGTAATGATGTATGCGCTTGTGCTTGATTGTTGGCCTCCAATACGTAATATTCCAATCACCACAAACCACCGTGATCATTCTGCCAAAGCACCCACGCCAAGCACTACCGACCCGCCTCACTGCGGCCCGCGCTGGCGTACAGGCCCAACAGGAAACCACTCAACGTCGAGCTTTAAATTTAATTTCACACATTTTACGTGTTCCAAATTGCCGCAGTGTCTTCGTTACTTTTCAATGCACATATGTATGTAAATATGTAGCTTGCTGACCGTTGCTGGGTTGTAGCGCGCTGTTGAGCTTAGCACATTTGGAACAGGTCTTCACCGTGTCCCCTAACATTGACACCGTTATTAATGTTTGAATAATTAACAAACGGGTCTAAGCGGTTGATGGCTAATAAGTGGCTTTGGTCGATATTCTTCATGCGCTCGATAAATAGCCCTAACCTCAAACTGCGGCATAAACGCAGCAATGGTATGCCGGCTAATGGAAGTGTCACACAACAATTACTTGATGGGTTAAATAAAGCAAACAAATCAAATTTAATGTACTTTTAATAATAGTATTGTGTAAATATTGGCCTTTACAGGCTTATTCGTTTCGCGGTTTCGAATATAAAAGTAAATTAAATGCAGTTGGAATACTTTATTTGCCTGGATTCCTGTTTTATTACAAAATGCGAACCCTGACCTTACGAGCACATGCGTAACTCTAAGTGCACCGTACTATAGACGGCCTCGCGAGTTGCTGTAAGCTTCGACCGGCTTGAGGCAATTTTCGACCACCGTTTGGCACAAATGGAGCAGTATCTCAGCCAACGACTTGAAAAATGTTAGTTCCCAACTGCTCAAGTGTTCAATGGTTATAAACATTGTCTTTCGCGTAGCCTTACAACAAAAGCTTTGCGGTGTCCAACCTCAGGTTCTCGGGGAAAATTTCTCTCGCAATAATGCCATATTCGCATGTGGCACCTTCTTTTTGAAAGCACATATTATCCCAGTTGTGTTCTTCATTTACAAGCTAAAAAAAAGTCGGTTATCATACGACTATAACGCTCCAAACTGACAGGTACAGTCTCGCCGTTGTCATTTTCAAAGAGGTAAGGTGTTGTGTTGACGGAAGGCATGTCTCCAGTGTTCTTGACGTACGTAGCCTTCGAGGACCCAACATCGACTCGGAATATTATTTTGTTGCAGCGAAGATACGCATGCGTCTCTGTATCGAAGAACGCCCGTCAACAAACACAAGGAAAGTTCGACGTTGAAAAGCTGCAATCGCAACAGACTGTCGAATGGTTTTCTACTCGACTTGTACTCCTACTCACTGCGAGCACTCATCAGCAACTCGGTATATGGGATCTGTGCGACGTTATTTCAAGCTCTTTACGTACAGTTGCAAACGAAACTATTTCGTAATGATCGCAAAAACGGCTGGTACGATGAGGACTGCCGTGTCGCAGTGGAGGGAAAATAGACTGCCTACCACGCAATCTTGCGATCGACCACAACACATGCGGGTCGGGATGGATATCTAGAGATGAAGACTGATGAAGAGTTGATGACCCGATGCCCAGTGTATATTGAATTTATGAAGAGAACACTTCTCCAACCTGCTGAATAGAGTAAAGATGAAGAATTCGGAGATGGTAAACCCGAAACCTCAATCGATGACGATGGAAAAGACGTTCCATTCTCTGACTAGGACGAGGTTCGTGTAGCGGGTACCGAAGGATTAGCGGCAGAACTATTCAAACATGGCGGAGAATAGCTGACAAGGTGTTTGCATCAGCTACTTTGCAGAATATCGGAGGACGAAAGCACGCCCGATGATTGGAATTTAAGTGTACTCTACCCAATCCATAAAACAGGGGACCCCACAGCCTGCGCTACTTACCATGCGATAAGCCTCCTTAATATCGCGTATTAGGTCATGTCGAGCGTATGGTGTAAACGACTGGAGCCCTCCGTCAACAAACTGATCGGACCTTATCAGTGTGGATTCAGACCTGATAAGTCAACCATTGATCAGATATTCGTCATGCGACAAATCTTGGAAAAGACTCGTGAAAAGAAGATCGACACCCACCACCTTTTCGTCAATTTTAAAGCCACCTTCGACAGCACGAAAAGGAGCTGAGGTTTCCGCTATGTCTGACTTTAGTATCCCCGTAAAACTTATACTACTGCATGAGCTGATGCTAGACAACACCAGAAGCGCAGTCAGAATTAGGAAGGACCTCTCCGAGCTGTTCGGTGCCAAACGAGGTTTCAGACAAGTTGACTCCTTGTCTTGTGATTTCTTTAACGTGATGCTGGAGAGAATAAGAGCTGCAGAGCTGAATAGAGAAGGTAAATACAATCTTCTATAAGAGTGTACTACTGGCGTACGCCGATGATATTGGCATAATCGATCTCAGCCGCGCGTTAGTTCTGCTTTCTCCAGGCTTGATAAAGAAGCAAAACGAATTGGTCTGATAGTGAACGAGGCAAGACGAAATACCTGCTGTCATCAAACAAATAGTCATCGCATTCGCAATTCGGCTCCCACGTCACTGTTGACAGTCATAACTTTGAAGTCATACATAATTTCATTTATCTAGAAACCAACATTAACACCACTAATAACGTCAGCCTGAAAATAAAGCGCAGAATAACTCTTTCCAACGGGTGCTACTTTAGACTGAGTAGGCAATTGAAAAGTAAAGTCTTCTCCCGACGAACGAAAACCAAACTCTACAAGCCCCTCATCGTTCCTGTCCTACTTAATGGTGTGGAAGCTTGGACGATGACAACAACTGATGAGACGACGCTAGGAGTTTTTGAGAGAAAGGTTTTGTGTAAGGCAACGGCGAATACCGCAGACGATGGAGCGATGAGCTGTACGAGTTATACGGCGACATTGATATAGTTCAGCGAATCAAGAAGCGGCGGCTACGTTGGCTAGGTCATGTGGTCCGGATGGATGCGAATACTCCAGCTTTGAAAGTTTTCGATGCAGTGCCCGCCGGTGGAAGCAGAGGAAGAGGAAGACCTCCACTCCATTGGAAAGACCAGGTAGAGAAGGACCTGGCTGTACTTGGTATTTCCAATTGGCGCCAAATGGCAAAGATTGAATTTTATTATCAAAATGTGTGCTCTGTTAAGAAAGAAACTTAATCATGATCATTTTTCGGAACTGGTCAGATGGGACTATTTTAGAATATATACGATCGATTTTTCAGATTTGAGGTTATGGGTCAGAAAAATATGAAGAAATTGTCTAAAGGCGGGAAACTTTGGTGTTCTGCACCCTTATGATGAATTACACATTGACTCCAGAAAGAAATAATATTGCCTCAGAAGATTAGCATAGAGCGCGCCGCGAAGTGTGGTAAGATGTTGGATCAGAAACACGTCCTTTCAATCACGCGTAATAGCCTATTAGCAGAACGGAGTGTAAACAAGACACTTCCACATGCCCTACTTCGATTTGAGGCAATGGATCGGAATCAATAAGAAAGCAAGGAGCGGAAGCGAGAGCTTTCCACCAGCAGTAGAAGATTGTAGATTGCAGACTTTGTCTCGCCAGCTGCCTAATTAGTTTATTAGAATAATTTGTGATGAAGTTATAACCCTAAAATTGAGTATCGCGTGAGAGATAGCATTATACCTCGTTTGTAGTTCCAAGTGGGAGGGGCAGTTACTGAAGAGGTGCAACTGTAAGGCTGCAAGTTATGCATAATGTTATGTCGGTATGGCAGTACTCATGAGAGCTTCGTCTTTTCGGGCGTCATCATAAAAAAAAACATTGGTATTCTATATATGTATGTACAAATAAATATTGGTACTGAGGCGCTTAGAAATCGGAAAATTTCGTCAGACGACCAAATTGTAGCGCCCATACATCGAGTTTCTTTGTGTATCTAGACTTTTCCGAATGGTTCCGACATATTTTTTCTATAATATTTAGTTCGTGGGTAATCATTTCTTTTATTTTATCAACATCTTCCACAATTGGCCTTCCACTCCGCGGATCATATTTTACCTCATAGTTACCAGAACGAAACCGACAAAGCAAAACCAAATTACTATTTACCGTTACCATAGTTTCTTTCACCATCTTTAAAATGCGAACACCGCTGAGTTAAGGGATCCACACCAGTGGATGACCCTTCACTTGACCTAAGATATTGTTGCGCTGCTTTCCTGGTATTAGCAAGCACATTTAAGCTAAGTTCATTAAAACAATTTCAAACACCAAAATTTGAGTGCTTTTTGTTTAACTTTGCTTTGAGTAAACTTAACTCTTTCTTTTGTAATCAATTCCACATTAACTGCATAATAATACGTAATGCCAATTATAATTATCTGCCGTCACTTAAGAATAAATAGTATTGGAAGCAAGATTTTGTTTTAGTTTGAGTTCAGCGCCTTGAGACGTTTCATGAAATAAACCAGAATAAGAATTTGGGAATTTTTGAAATTTTTTTTTAATTAAAATGAACATCACAGCAATGAGTTTGAGTTATTTCAACAAATCGGGTGAACAAAATGACCAAGCTGACCTCGTTGCCGTCAAAGCGACAATGCAGGTCATACAAAATCATCTACTGAATATTGGCACATTTTTTACGCTCACACTGTGCTGTCGCAACCAACATACATGTAAATTTTTTAACAATCTTTTGGAAAAACTGTTTCACATGTGGGGAATGTCTATGGTGAGATTTGTGGTGCTCAAGGAGAACTCCACGGAACGTGTGGGTGGCGATAGACGGTCTAATTTAATAATGACGGATTCATTCAAGGCGTTTCGGTGAGTTCCAAATGAGTTCAGAGACGAACAAATAAAAAAGAAAGAAATGAAAACAAGCATAGATGCTTTTTCAGTTCATTGTGCTGTGGAATTGTTTTTGGGCTCTTTTTTATGGAATTGTTTCAGACCATATATTTTTTGGAAATAGGGAAAAAATTACTAAAATAGTTTTGGACGAAGAAGGAGCTGAACAAGATAAAAAAAAATGATTTTTTGAAGTGCTTCAAAGATTGGAAAAATCGTTGGTACAAGTGTATAATATCTCATGGGGATTACTTTGAAGGGGACAAAATAGATATTCATGAATAAAATGAATAAATAAATAATTTTTGAAAAAACACTAAATTCGCGATATTTTTTGAACACACCTCGTACATGAATAGAAATTATATACATAGTTAGGCAAAATATTTAATTAAAATTAGACAATTCAATTTTTTAATCAAGATCTCTTCTCCTTTTTCCCACCGCTTTCTAGTGAAATCCATATCGCCTCCTATACGAGCCGCAACAACTACAATGAATTCTACTACATTTTTCTGCAAATTCGTGATGCTTACCTACAAGAAAATCTACAACAAATTTTCGAATATTGTTGGGCCCATTCTATGATTAATTGCAGCGTACAAGTGCAAAATTCCCATGGCGATATAACGGTTTACTCATATTTTCCATTTACAAATCATTATTGCGCCCACGTAGAGCCTGTGATTATTAATCGTTTTAACGGTACGGATTTTGAAAGACCACTACTTTTTCCACTCAAGCTGAAGAATTTTCATGGCTGCGCTTTGAGGGCGGCACTTCAGCATATACCACCCTTTGTGTACCTAGACACCGATGCGCAGGGCAACAGTCGCATTGTAGGCGGCATTGAGGGGCATTTGCTAAAGCAATTGAGCAAGCTGTTAAATTTCACCATCGAAATTAAGACGCCGCAGGAGAAACGCTATCATGTGGATGCGGTGGGTTTAGTAATTTCATTTTTAAATTGTTTTAAATATTTTAAATTGTTTTATTTAAAAAAATTGTAAATTTACTCTTACGCAGCTCGAAAAGGACGAAGTAGACATTACCTTGGGCTGTTTTAGTCAAACGTCTGCTCTAATGGCTGTCGCCTCGTATGTGACCAGCTATTATCAAACTAGTCAGGTGTTGTGCGTATCGCGGCAAGCATATGCTTTAAATTCGCTAGAGGCCTTCACAACACCCTTCGATGGGACTATTTGGTTACTAACATCGCTTACCGCCATCCTTTGCTGGGCGCTTTGCTTTGCATTGAGTAAGTATTGGCGTCACAGTTTTGAGCGGCGTATGCAGACGTTTTTAAACTTTCTCGCTGTTCTACTCGGCATGTCTATAACCCATACGCCGTACATGCTCCAAGGGCGTTTACTCTTCATCACCTGGTTGTGCTTCACACTACTCATACGGTCTATCTATCAGGGTGTTCTCTTCACGTACGCCCATCGCAGTACAATCGTGAGCATTCCTACAGATTTTGAAGAATTAGTGGAGCTCAATTTCACTGTCGTTATGTCCAGCGTTAATAAAAGGCTGCTCTCTGATGTACCATTAATGCAGAAGTTACCCTCAATTACAACAACAAGGTTGGATGGCGTCAGCGCTTTCGATTATATTCGTCATGAGTCGAAGAGGAATTATGTGGCGGTGGGACCTTTAGACTTTCTACTCTTTTACGAACTGATGCACAACAAAACCGGTCATTTTGTTGTTATGAGCAAAGATCTTTTAAACTTTCAGATAACCATGTATTTGCAGAAGCATTCTTATTTGATAGACCAGTTTGAGCATGAAATTTGGTGGATACGTTCGGCGGGTTTGATATCGGGTTGGACGTTGAACGAAGTAGGCGAGATGAAAATTGCGAAAGATGAGAAAAAGATTGAAGTTATACATCTGCAGGACCTCAGTGCTATATTCTATATGTTTGTTATCGGTATGCTTGCATCGTTGGCGGTTTTCGCTTTGGAAATGTTGTCATTGCGCTTAAAACCTCTAAGAAGTGTTTTTTGAAAGTCCACAAATGCTCGTTTAGTCTGTAGTAAGAAATGAAAAATAAATAAGCAATCTAAATTCAACTCATTGAAATTTTTGTAAATCTAAAACGGATTTCTTACAAGACGCTACGGCTTCTATGTCGATACTTAAACATTGAATAACTCCGTCGTTTATCAACCGATTGACGACTTAGTTAGACATGTCATCGACATAAGATATCAAGAAGGCACGCTCTGGTGGCAGAGGGTGCTAGAAATTTAGAAATTAAACAATACCGAAGAGAGTACACTACCCCGCGGAACTCTTTGTTTTATTTTCACGAGCTCCGAGTTGTGTATAAGGAGCAACACCGCTTCAAGTATCTTAGAACGTGGATCGATATGCTTAATCCTTATTTACTGGTTTCAATAGCAGATCCAATCCATCTTGTTTTCATATGTCGGGTATGGTTGCTAGAATGGACAGAAACAGATTGAGGGTTTTAGTGAGAAGTTTTTCTTACGCTGAGCCCACACGCTTTAGCATGAGCATGTTAATTTCTTAGTTGGCGATGTAATTTGAGGCTCGCACCTTCACAATTGGGTACTGTCAACTGAAGAGTATGGTGCAAAGCTCTGGCTAGAGTAGCTCGCACACTTAATCGGTCGACCATGGCTCAGTCACTGAACTACATTTTCACGCGGTCTGTGATTCGACAGTGATGTAAAACTCGGCTGCATGAGAGCAGAGACCTTAGATGCTTGAGGGGTTTTCATGTCTACTACATGGTCTACTTAGGATGGTCCAGCAAGTGCCGAGTTGCAATTTGGTAGATAATCAAAACTTAATGTTGAATCCGCCACCTCGGATGGCATATTGTTGCAGATCTCCGCAATCCGTCTCGACAGAATGAAAGGCAGTCTGTCCATCAGACCTGTCTTGTGGAATTTTCATAAATCTTGAACTAAATGGCGCTAGATTGCAGAAAAGGAGTCGAGTCCTGGTTCAATCAACATTCAAAACTTAAAGAAAGTTAATTTTTATAATATCAAACCCTCCGAGTCTATTTCTGAAATGAGCTAAAAAGCACTTCATAAAAATACATCGGACGTTCGGTAGCGGCTTAGCCAAAATTGTGAGTACCTCCAAATGTTGGAAAACACCAAGACGGAAATCTACCAATTGGATTAGGAGCTCAGTCGAAGCGCCATTTATAATAATAATAATGACTTATGTCACACGGAACTATTATCCTACTGAGCTCGCTACGATTCGGTATGCGGTGGGTCCCAATGTTTTTCGCTCTTTCCTTTGAGTAGCACATCAGCGTTTCCCAGCCTTTGTGGAATATGCTTTTGTATCCTCTCATGTGCTTTGCTGGAAACATCACACTTTAGAAGCTGGCTACTTAGGGATCTTAACGACGTTTGTATACCTTTCGTCTTTTACCTAAAGTAATCGAAAACCTCTTTGGCATAATTTAAGCGGTTCGGCAGCTCTCAAAACATTTAGGTTCATTCACTACGCCTTCTTCGCATCTATTACGGGTTCTAAGATTCAGGATCATAAATGGAATGTTGCAATAATTCATCTTGCGTAATTTAAACTTCCTCCCAGTCAATATCCGTAAAGGACACATAGCGGACAATGTTAGCTTGAAATACCATCCAAAGCAAGGTTGAACTCGTTATTATCCGTGCTCATTTACAAGTGCATATGCACGAGGGGGTAAAAAAAGTTCGGTAAGTTCAAGAGAAAAAAATCATTTTTGTATTTATTCGTAACCTTTGTTCTTTTTTTATCTTCTCTACATAGTCACCATGGGCTTCAATGCATTTCTCAGTCTTCAAAATCTTACCTTCTGAGTTTATCAAGTTCAGCATTAAAGACCTTTGCTTTTTATTCTTTTTTTTTACCTTTTGGAAATGACCAGAAATCGCAAGGTGCTATAACCGGGAAATATGGTGCTGAACGTGTTTCTTCGATTCCAGAGCTCGCAATTAAGTTACTCGTTATTTCAGCAGTGTGGGATGGCGCGTTGACATGATGAAAAAAGTAGCGCCACAAATCCTCTTTCCTACTGTTTTTCAACAAATTTTTTAAAACTTTCGGGAAACACTCTTCGCTGTACCATTTTGCAGTTTTCGTCCAAACCTTTTCTAGTGGACTAGCGGCGACGATTTTAGATCGGTTGAAGTAAACTGGCATCCTTACTTTTGCTGCTGATTTTTGTTGCTTAGATTTAAAGGTGGGCTTGCTTCTGTTAGACTCCATACCATGGACTGCTTTTTGGTTTCTGGATTATTCCTATATAACCAAGATTCGGCATCAGTAACGACTTTACTAAAGTTGCTAGACTGACATATTTCGAATTTGTTTAGGAAAAATTGAGCAAAATGCAGCCGAGCCTCTGTTTGGATCTCACTTAAAATTCTTGGTACCCATCGAGCAGAGTTTTTCGTGTATCCTAGACGATTACTGAATATTCACCATACAGCCATGGCATTCAAGCCCAATTCATTAGCAATCATTTCTTGTATCAGTCGTGGTTCTTCATCAATTTTGGAGTTCGCCAGAGCCACAGTGACGTCATCAGTGTAAGATTTTGGTCGACCTTTTCGGCGCTCGTCCTCTGCGGAAAAATTTTCCGTCTGGAATCTTACAAAGCACTTTAGAGTCTTTAAAGCTGGCGCAATCGTTCCATATACAGTTTGGCGTTAACTGAATATTTGGATTGGCTGAAAATTACGCTGAAAACCAAAACGAATCACATGGTGAATTTCTGTTTGCGTTCGTGGTGAAATTTCGCCTGACCTTTTTTCAGCTATTTTCCGTTTTCTCATCTCCATTTGGCCCATGGCTCTAAAATTTGAAAGCAAGATTAATAAAGTAATTTCCAAGGATTTGGTATTTTTAGATTTAACAAAAACAAATTGAAAGTCACCAACTAACCGAACTTTCATTATTCTCCTCGTATTTGACATATTTATTTCCATGTATATATATTATAAGCTATTTACTCGCAAAATGTTTGAATAACAGTTCAGCCAACACGTGTCAACAACTTTATTTCAGGACACGCCCTACAACAATAAATAATATAACGTACATAGTATGTATGTGTGTGTGTGTGTAGTTAAGTCAGAGTCAAAAACTAAATATGATGTGTACATTGATTTTCACACTCAAATACCGTTGCATTTTCAAGGCAACCATGCACACTTCAAAAGTGCATATACTCGTACATATGTACTAACGGTACACGTGCAGAAGGAAGCATAATACAATAATATATTGTAAATAAAACAAAAGAAAAGTGAAGAGTTTTGACCTAGAAAGTATTTTCTTTTCCTTTTTTCGCAATTTTCATTCAACACAAATGTGCATTAAATTATGCAACAACAAAAACATGCAGATAACAATATCAATTTTGCACACAAGTGCATGTGTACGTATGTACATACATATGTATGTATGCATGAATGTGTGCCATAAAATTGTATGTTTGCAAGCATAAAAAGTGCACATTTTGCACTTGATTCAATCATTTGCCTCGCTCATGTCGGCGCACGATGCCAATTTACGAGTTTACGCCTCTTTCTAGCACCCTGTGTGTATGCGTGTGTGTGTGTGCGTATTTGTGTGTACATATACATGTGTGCCACCCTCAACTAGCAAGTAGCTCAGTGCATGCATTGCTACCTTGTGCTCGTTGCACACCCAATCGCTTTTGTTTTTGCCTGTTTTCCCTTGGTTTGCGAAGAAACCCCTTAACTTAACTTGTGTGGACTTGCAAAATCCATCGCCTCGGCGCCTCATTAGCAAGTTATTTGTTGTGTTTGCATAACGTTAATGCCTCTGGCCACATGGAGACGCACACACCCGCATACAACAGGCAAACACAGACACTGCGCTGCACGAATGCATTTCCTTGCCTTCTGGCTCCTCTGCTCTCTTCCCATCTCCGCCTGCTGCTTGATTTGCAGTAGGCGAATGCGGAAAATATGCACTAACGGTGCAGCGTTGTGTCGCCAGTTAAACACCGTGTAGATGAGACTCATTTAAATGGCTTCGATGGCATGCCATGGCAATTGGTTTGCCTTTAACTAACTATTTATTCCGCGTCCATGTTGTCGCTGTTGACTATATTGCTGTGCTTTTGTTTTTACTGTTATTCATTTCCATTGGCACACATTAATTGGACTACACGAGTACCATGGACAGTGTCTAGGCTGCGGAATCGCAAGAAATCCAATGAAAACAAGAATGATTAGCAGTCTTCTGCCTTTATACCCTTTCATGAGCATATCGGCTTTAAGGTATTTCATTTCAGAATTATTAATATTGATTCTCTTATCTGAAAAATTGGTTGAACGGGTGTAAATGTTGAAGCTCGACGACTTCTTTGATTTTCAGTCTCAATATTTAGTTGTATATATATGTATCGCTATATCGATGTGTTCAGAATATGGGAGACAAAAAGCTCCCGGTTAGTGCGCTGATATTGAGAGAAAAAGCCAAGGAACGTAATATTTATTGAGACAGTCTCCTTTAGAACTCGAAAGAAGCATTTTTTTTAAATAGAAGGAAATAATTGTGGTAAATGAAATTTAAAAAAAAAAAATATATTATTAAGCTTAAAAACCGGTTTTTTGTATACAATTTTTATTGAATTTTCCTATGTTCTGACGAGTTTTCTGAGGCGACAGCAGTTTGAACTCGTGAAACGGTGAAGGTCCTGCGATGCCTCTGAAACAGACGAACCATTTTTTTACCTAATGTGAGTGTCTCTCCTTATGAACCAAAAAACTACCGAAGAAGTTGGAGAAATCGAAAATTTTTCGAAGTGTGAAGAAATTTCTTCTAGTTGCAAAAAAAAAAATATACACCCTTAGCCAAAAGTATTAGGCACCCCACTAATTACTGAATGTTTTGTTTTAACAAGTGAAATAATGAAGTTTTATTAGTAAAACAGTGAAAATACAATGAATTAGTGATAATAATATTAATAGTTAGTAGGTCCTCCCTTCGATTTAATAACGGCAGCGATTCTC